ATTGTAAGTCAAAGATACAATATAAATCATAAAATAAAAATTAAAATGAATATCCAGAAAATTACTTAAATATTAATTAAAAATTAAATGAAATGTCAAAACAATATTCCAAAATTAAAATTAACTCATGGCAATGAAGAAACCAGAATATTGTATATCTTATGTACAAATATATGATCAATTCAGAGTACTAACATAGTATTAGAATAGGTTAATATATAAAATATCAAATAAGAAAAAGTTTTTAGGATAGTAAAAAATTAATAAGAGTACAGCATAACTGGAGTGACAAATATATGACCAGCACTTTTTTTTTTTTTCCAGAACCGGTGATTAAACTCAGGTCCTTGCACTTGTCAGGGAAGTGTTTATTCTACTGAGCCATCTCCCAGGCCCCATGACCAGCACTTCTAACAGTTTGGGATAGGATATCACACAGAGTTCTAATACGTTGTGAACATACAGCATCATGACCCATAGATGCAGGAAAAGTTCATTTGTAGAGTATGCTTATGGAAATATTTTGCTGCTGTATACAGAAGAATAATTGAAAGACTGCTGTTGTATACCTCTTTTTCTCCTGTGTTTGTTTGCCCTATTTGGTGGGTTCTTTCTGTTCTCATTCATGGAGTTGTGGTCATTTTGATCCCTCTCTAGGATATCTTTTAGTAGTTTGTGCAGGGTTGGCTTTATCATCATGAAATTCTTCAGTTGTTCTTTATCATGGAGGTATTTTACTTCTCCATTAAACTTGAAAGAGAGTTTTGCAGAGTCTGTCTGGGTTGTAATTTGTTTTCTTGCAAGACTTGAAGTACTTTGCTCCATTCTCTTCTTGACTTGATTGTTTGTGAAATGTGCCATTATTTTGATGGGTTTTCCTTTAAATGTGATCTGTTTCTTTTCTCTAGTGGCTTTTAGTATACTGTTCCTGTGCTGAATTTCTGGGATCTTGATTATTACATGTCTGGGTGTCATTTTAATTGGGTTGATGTTATTTGGTGTTCTATATGGTTTGGTTACCTGAAAGTCAGATTATTTCCCCATATTTGGGAAGTTTTCTGCTATTACTTCCATCCATATTCTTTTTATATCATTTGTATTGACTCCTTTCTCATTGATGCCTATTAGTTTTACGTTGTTCATCTTTGCATGGTCTTGCAGATATTGAATTATTTTTTCTGCATTCCAGTTTTTAAGAGATGTTTACTTATCTTTTCACTAGATGCAATGGTGTGTTTAAGGTCTGAAAGTCTGTTTTCACTTTCATTCAAATGGTTTTGCAAGGTTGTGATTGAGGTTTTAATTGCCTGTATATGACTTTTTTTTTTTTTTTACCAAGGAGTTTGATGTTTTGGTTTATTAAATTGATAGAATTTCATGTACTGCTTGCCATTTTAGATAATTGTATAGAACAAAGTTGTCACATATCATCTATTTTTATTTGTATATTCAGATGTATTTATTTTCTTTTTAAAATTAATTTTAATGAGAAAGAAACAGGAATGAGATAGTTTCAAAACAGGTTAGTATTGGCTGGGGAGATAGCTCAGTTGAATAAGTGCTTGCCCAGCAAGTGCAAGGTTCTGTGTTTGATCCCTGTTACTGTAAAAAAAAAATAACAAAAAACCAAAAAACCCTCAAATATTGGGTTAGTAGGACAGTTACAATAATTAATACATTGCATATTGTTGTCTTCATAGTAGTTTTTCAGAGTATAAGATGCAGACATGATATCTTGTCTAAAGACTATTAGTACAAATCTTTCTTCTCATTGAACTAAGAGAAAGTAGTTGTATATCTATCCTATTTTGTATATACACATTCAAGATTGCATCTTTTTTTTAAGATTGCATCATTTTTATATTCTCGTTTATTTTTTTAATCACTGCCTTCTTTAGAAGCACTTAATACTTCTTTCATTATAGTTATCATTTCTTTTTTTACTTCAGAAATTATTTTTGAGACCAAGTCTGAGACCAGGCATGGTGAGTGTGTGGCAGAGTTTCCAGCTACCCTGCACCTTCGGGACCTACCGGTCCCAGCCCAGGCGCAGCGTGGGTGAAACCCTCTTTCACACACTTGGGACACTGCCTATCACTCCGTAGTACCCTCCCCCACCCCACCCACCGAGTAGGAATTTCTGCCACGCTCCGGGAGCCCACAGATCCAGTCTTAGCCCAGGCCTGGAGAGTGTGTGGGAGAGTTGACTCTCCCGCCTACTCCACCTTGTCCCCTCCAGACTCAGCGCAAGCCTGGCATACAGGCCTGGGGTGAAACTCTGCAGCTGCAATACCTGAAGAGAGTGTAGGGGACAGAACCACCCAGCTACTCCAGGAGCAGAACATCTTGCCAGAGGGGCACAACAGGTTCAACCCCAAGGGCAGCAACAGGAAGGAACTGAGCACAGCAGCCAGACTCAAGCCAGGCACAGCTGGATAAATCCAAACTTTGTAGATCTGCACCTGAATTTCAGTACGTGCTAAGGTTATAACTGCAACAAAGACCTACAACAAAGGTCAGAAGACAGTGCTACACAAAATGACAGAAGGAGCAAAATGCAATCGCAGAACCCAAGCCCACACATAACAAGTGCAGAGGAAACTAACACAGAACAAATTGGGAATCTCACAGCTGAAAGCAATGAATCAACAGCTTCTGAAATAAAAAGCTGCAGAAAGGTATACAGGAACTCAGATTGGAAATGAAAAAAGAAATCCCTGAATTAATAACATCAGCAGTAAAGAATCAAATGCAGAAACATATGGAGGAAACCCAATGCCCACCCAGAACAAGTGCAGAGGAATTAGCTTGGCTCAAATGTATGAATTAATAGCATCGATAGTAAATAAGCAAGAGCAGAAAGTCATAGGGGAACTCAGAGCACAATTCTTTTCTACTAGCTCAGCTCAACTGTACAAATTAATGGCGTCAATAGTAAATAAGCAACAGCAGAAAGTTATAGAGGAACTCAGAGTGGAATTCTTTTCTGTAATAAAAAAAGAATTCTCAGAACTCATAGCATCTGAAGTAAAGAATCAACTACAGAAACATAGGGAGAAAACCCAATCAGAAAAAAACTGCAGTAAAAAATTTATAACTGCTTCTAAAGAAGACATTGAAAAAAATAGACGAGATTAGAAAATGACGGATTCCTTGAATGAGCAATACAGGAAAGAAATAGATTGCGTGAAGCAGAGTCAAAGAGATATAGAGGAAATTAAAATCTCAATCACAAGCTTGCAAAACCATTTAAGAGAAAGTGAAGACAGAGTTTCAGATCCTGAAGATGCTGGTGCAGCTAGTGAAAAGGTAAAAAAGGATCTCTTAAATTTAAAACAACTAGGATGCAGGAAAGAATAATCCATCACATGCAAGATGAACAATATGATACTAATAGGCATCAATGAGAAAGAAAGAGTCAATACAAATGACATTAAAAAACTATGGACAGAAGTAATAGCAGAAAACTTCCCAAATATGAGGAAACAATCTGACATTCAGGTAACCGAAGCATACAGAACTCCAAGTAACCTCAATCCAATGAAAAACACACCGAGACATATAATAGTCAAGATCCCAGAAATTCAGCACAAGAATAATTACTGAAAGCTTCTAGAGAAAAGAAGCAGATCACATT